AAACGGAAGAAAGAGACCATCTTCAAAGAATAACATTTACGAAGTTTAAGGGCGGAAGTGGTGTAGTGGCAAGTGGCACGCTTACCACGCGAGCGGTCCGGGGATCAAATCCTGGGTCGTGAGTCGCCCGGGCCAACCAAGCCTTCCATCCCTCCGGGGTCGGTTAATTGGTACCAGACTTGTCTGGGAGGATAAAAACACTGACTTGTACATCGGCTGGCCCCCGCAAGTCATTGTATAGGCCACATCGCATTCAAACGCCACTACGAATGTACAAATGGAAGTAGAATGCGTGCCGCATCCCAAAAAGGGATTGATCAACGGCAAATGCTTTATCCTTTATCCTTTTTAAATACTTTTTGGAAAGAAAACAATTTGAAGTTCAAAATCATGCTGCATCGCATGAGAGCGCAATTTAAGAGCCGAAGGAAACTTATCAGTTTTTGACAGAGTTCTTCGCGAATACAAACATGCCTGTGTTCATGCGGAATGTTGGAGAGTACTTCTATTCAATGAGTAAAATTTCAGTTGCTTCGATTCCCTTTCTCTGTGTTAGGCCGATGTCAGACTTTGCGAATCGCGCGATTCGCTACTAGCGATTCGCGCGATTCGCAAAGTCTGACATCGGCCTTAACTTCCCACTGCCCACCACCATTACCATGTTGATGGTGGCCCATACATCGCTGATGGATGAAAATACATATGTGAAAGGACATAGATAACTAATAAGTGGGATCGTACTGGCCCCAATGGAAGGAGCAGGCACAACGCACTGTTAGCCATGCTCCTCAATAACGGTCCCGGTATTCTCCAACTTTTCGTTCCATGGAACCTCTGCACCTTTGCTAATTTTAATCGTCTTATTCTGCCACCGAAAATTGTAGATGTAAAGCTGTTTTACTTGGCCTGATATTTTGCCCGAATCTTCTTCAAAAGCTAGAACGAGCTCAGTTTTTGACAACTATGTACCACATGAGGCGCCGACCTCTTCTCCTCAAAGTTTCTTTCAGAGAGTTAGGGAAGACGAGAGAAATAAATTCACACAGTTCACAATGCAAGAGCGGAATAGCGCCACTCTGCGATAGTTATAGTTAGTCAATGATGCATACATAATGTGCACTCCATGAATAGGTGCTACAGTTTGGACATGGGCATTTCAATGCATTGGCGCTTTTTGACGGGAATCTCATAGTCGAAATCTGAGCATTGCCAGGATTTGTGCTTCACATCAAAACGTTCGCGTAGTGTTAATCGAAAATTACTTGCAGAGCAGCCTTTTAAATTGCCGCGCTTTTTTCTATCAGATATTACCGGCGCACCCTGCGGGGATGCTTCTATTTCGCCCAAGTTGACGCTTGATATTGTGATTAGGAATGCTCGCTTTTGAACTTAGCATTGATGCAGAAGTTTCATGAAGACAGAATTTGGAGGTTACTGAACAACATACATATTGCCGCGATACTTCGCCTCAGATCACCTTATGGCGGAGCACTAGTATTGCTTCAAATCGCAATTACTCGACCACGACAGTACTTATTGTTAGCTCCGCTCGGCGAACTCATCGGTTTGTCGACGTGCGACCGAATAGGAGTTTCTTTCTCGATGAGGTTCAATGTCAGTCTGCGGATCTCAACGGATAATTTTTCTGCTTTTGTTTCCAAAAATGATAGATGTTTATGGATATTGACAAGCTACGGGAAATGACTGCTTTACCACCAGCACTGTAGTAACCTTCCATTAAACGGCAAAAGTCGGGCTCAATATGGGCGACTGAAGCTGAGTGTGGAGATGCGAAATGGAACGACAGTGGAGAAAAAACGAAAAGAAACCGTCGACAAGGCCGAAAACGAAACCCCTTTCCACTAGCAGTGAAGGAGGCTTGCTTGGGGAGAGCCACGTCCAAACGAGTTTTCCGGATATGCCAGCCGTTCCATCGGTTGATACGGCAATCAACCTAGCTGATCTCACACGTTAGCCAGCCACGCACCACATCCCGCGGTGGGCGGGACCAGCTGATGAACGAACCCATCGCTGTAAGTAGTAGGCCAGAGGCCTTGACGGCGCGCAATCTCGAGTCAGGAGTGTGGCATCACCCCTCTGAGCGCATTCCTGGAAATATTAGTGATGGAAAGGCCTTCTATGGTCGCCTAATCCTGACTCGTGGCTTTAACAACATCTGTTTCATTAAAAGCATGCATGCATGAGCCTTATAAAAGTCCAGGCTATACTCAGTTCTGCCGAAGCCCACATTGACATGCGCGCGATAGCGAGCGAAGCCAAACTGGTATAACATACTCTGTTTTCACTTGTGTTGCTCGATCTACAGTACGGACGCACCTGGTAACCCGCATCTGAACGTCCCACAGACTGCCCCTCCAAGACACTTATAGTCTCTTCGCTGACTGCCGCTTCTTATCCTCCACAGTGGAGCAAAGGTTTTTATGCTTTCTCTGTTTCGGATGCTTCCACACCTTTTCAACTTAGCGGCCCAACCCTTTCAAGTCATTGTTACGTCTCGTGGTGATCCAAAGCCTTTTATCTGTCGCACTGCCTTCACCAAAAGTGTGCAAATCATCGTCAGTAGTTAAAAGGGTGCACTCAGATGTCGTGGCCTGTTTCTAGTAAAAAACTCTACTCAATGAAATTTTCCAGATTTTCATAATCCAAACTGTTCCCTGCCGGTTTCCACAGGCTAGCGAGCAGGCGATTTTTTTCGATTGCACATATTTGAACAGAAATTGGAATCCAGTATATCGACCTGTAACACTACTATCAAGGAACTTCTCCTGACACATGACCACTTAATATACAATAACAACTTAGTGGCAGAAAACAACAAAAAGTGGTTTACACTTCCAAATTGCCCGTCTAATATTGTAATCACCTTGAGAATATGTCCGCTCCTCCGCTCTGCCGAGTAAGTTTCCCGAGAGGTTGGCAAAATATAGCACTTGATAATAAGGACGAGGAGAAAATAAACTATCTCGGCAGGTTGATTAGACGGTGAGGTTTGTCCTCACTTTTTATAGCACTGTCTTGGAAGGAGGGTACGTTTTCCGATCGGTGAATGTTTTTTCGGAGTAGCTCAATTAACGCTTTCAGATATTCGCTACTAATCAAGAGGAAAGACTTCAGTGAAAACTAACCACAAAATCCACCGAAGAACATGAAGGGCAAGGTGAGTTGTGCAAGATTTCTTCATGTTCAATGCAGTATGCTCAACACTTGAGACATAAAAGCTGCACAAACCGCATCACTAATTTAGGCTATCCTAATGGTATTAGATTGGCTTGGAAAACGTGCGTGAATGCTCGACAGAGGGGAGGGCGCGGACGAGTTTGTCGCCTCATTCTCTGCGGTAGTGGTTCACGCTCTTCTAAAAGAGCGCACACGTCACAACGCTTCGTTCTTATACTCTAGCCAAACGTCTGCAGCTTCATTTTGCTCTAATCGACCCCTCTTTCGATTCTCGTCAGCGCCCTCTCTCCTTTCTAGCATTCGTGCACCCTGTCCGGTGCGGGATTTTCAGCGCTAACTTCGCACGTATTTCATGAATCAAGTGATCTGGAGTCAGATTGTGTACGCTTCCACTTGACGCTAATGCTCGGGGAGCTTGGTGAATCCTGCTCAACAAACGTACGGAAATTACTTGGAGCAGTCGTCGAGTGTCTCTCTGGCCTAACCTTCTCGTCTCTGAACTTTTTTCTCTATTCACGTGCGCTGAGATTACCAAACAGGGCTGAAGAGGCAGTTGCGCAGAGAAGGCTCAAAGCTCTATAGCCTCGAATCGGGACTTTATGGTGAAGAGCAGCCCGAAAATCAAGGGTGATGGTCAGTGGTGCACGGACGAATAAAAAACCATGACAAAGGCCTCAGAACCCGAGAGGTGGACCCGGGAAACCTCTTCTTTACTTCTTTGATTGCCACATAGATGCGACCCTCATCGTTATTGCCCTATTCAAGGCTCATGAATTTAACGAACGGAGGATCGAAGCACAAACTTTTACAAGTGCCTACTTCGAACTACTCGTAGAGATATGCATTTACACATTCAAAAGTCCCTATGTGCGCAGAACAAAGTCACATACATTGCGCATCAATGATAGGCTAACTTACACTTATTGATTGCTCTTTCTAAAATCGAAGGGCTGAGGTCGGCCCGCAAAATGTGAACCATCCCAATGCACAGATTTCCTTGGGAATGCTGAGTGCGGGAGGCCAGGCGGGGAGGACAGCCCTTTAGCAGGACTCCGGCCCGGTTTCCGGGTCCAAAACCTGGCTGAGATACAATTTTGCCTATACCTAGCGGTCCCACTATG